CCTTAAAGACTCTTTTGTCGGATCTTAGTATAGGCAATCTAGGTCTCTTTCGGTTGCTATGCACATGGTATATGTCTTTTAGCACTCTTTTACTTTCAAACTATCGTGTCTTTGAATGTAAAGTGTCTCTTGCAGACAGAATGTAATTGGATCATGTTTTTGTAAAATCCATTCTGCCAGTCTCTGACTTTTAATTCAAGCATTTAACCATTAACATTTAATGTAATTACTGATAAGTAGCATTTTTGTCTTCCATTTACACGCTTGTCTTCACCATATGATATCCCCTTTTTGTTTTTCTACTTTTCAATTTTTGCCTTCTTTTGTGTTAAATTAGTATTTCCTAGTGTACCATTTTAATTTCTTTGTTGTGCCTTTACATTTTTTTCTGTTATTAGTATTACCTTGTTGATTACAATTAACATCTTAACAGTAACAGTCTTGTTCAGATGAATACCAACATAATTTCAATAGTGTACTAACACTTTGCTCTTCTGCAGCTCCATTCCCTCCTTAACGCCTTTGTGCTGTTATTGTTATCCAAATTACATTTTTTATGCATTGTGTGTATACCAACAGATATTTCCAATTACTGCCTTATGTACTTGTCTTGAAATCATATAGGAGAAAAATAAATACAAAAAATAAATATATACATTATTGTGCCTTTTGTGTTTTTAGTTGTGTACTTTTACCTACATAGTTTTATTTCTTCATATGGATTTGAGTTATTATCTAATGTACTCTCATTACAGCCTGAATGACTCCCTTATTAATATTTCTTATACAGCAGGTGTACTAGTGACATATTTTTCCAGTCCTTGTTTATCTGGGAATGTCATAATTTCTTCTTCATTTTTGATGGATGGTTTTGCTGAATACTGAAGTCTTGGTTGACAGGCTTTCCTTTCAGCACTTTGAATGTCATATCACTGCCTTCTGGTCTCCCTGGTTGCTGATGAGAAATCAGCTGTTGATCTTATTTGAGAGCCTTTGGAAGTGATGAGTCACTTCTCTCTTGCTGCTTTCAAGATTCATTCTTTCTTTCTGCCCCTTTTGTTCCCTCCTCTCTTTTGACTACTGTTATGTAGATGTTATTATGTTTGTCTCTCAGGTCACTGAGGCTTTTTCTTCATTTTCCTTCTTTCTTTTTACTTTCTGATCTCAGATTGGATCATCTCAATAGATTTATATTCAAATTGGATGATCCATCTGCATGCACAGATTTGCTCTTGAGCCCTCTAGGGAATTTTTTACTTCAATTATTATACTTTCAACTCCAGGATTTTAGTTTCCTTTTTCATTATATATATAATTTCTGTCTCTCTATTGATATTTTAATTTGGTAAGACATTGTTCCCACTCTTTCCTTTGGTTCTTTAGATATGATTTCCTTTAGTTCTTTGTACATATTTAAAACTGTTGATTGAAAGTCTTTGTCTAGTAAGTCCAATGTTTGGACTTCCTCAAGGACAGTTTCTACACTGTTTCATACATAGTTTTTACATAGTTTTTTCCCCCCTGTGTATGAGCCATATTTTCTCATTTGTTTGCATATCAAATTATTGTTGAAAACTGGACTTCTAAAATATAATGTAGCAATTTGTAATCAGAATCTTCTCCCACCATAGCTATGTATTTGTTTAGTGATTCTCTTCAACTAATACTGTAGAATCTATATTTTTTCTCATGTGTGGCCACTGAAGTCTCTGTTCCATTAGCTAAACAGTTAGCTAATAAATTGGACAATGATTTCCATAAATACCTGTAAGCAGTAAGGCTCTAATCTTTGCCAAGGTGCTCTGTATGTTGGGGTATGCCTTCAACAGTGAGGCTGGCATTTTACTACTCCACATTAGCCTTCACTTTTCTTGCACAGAGCCTCAACGTTAACGAGAGCTAGGGGTTTAGCACTTTCTCAGGTCTTTCCTGAGTATGTACATGGCCAAGAGCATGTGTGTTGCCTTCTAGATTCCCAGGGATATGTGTGAGCTTTTCAAAGCCCCTTCTGGATATCTCATTCTCCAGCTTTTCCTTTTAAGCTTTTTAGTTAGACTCTTGTTTCTCTTAACTGTTATAAACTGTCTGAAGTAGCCATGATGGTAAACAATATCCCATGATATTTTTTTTTTCACTAGTGGCATGCCCCCAGGGAAAATGTTATTTGCAGTGGGTGAGCTCTGAGTCATGACAAATGAAGACAGCCTTATGAGTGAGGTGTTCCGGAGAACCACCAGAAAGATCATTAATGACAGTTGTCTGGGAATGGGGTTTTATCTTCCAGTTGAACCACAGTCTTAGGCACTGAAAACTTGAGTCTCAGCATTTTATTACATACGAAAAATAGGGCAGATGGGTGTGGGCATGTTGAAAGTGTCTGCTAGTGCTTTCCCCCTACTGCAGTGGTATCCCACCAATGGCCTCAAGTTATGGGTTTTGATGACTTTCCCCTTACAGATTAAGTATTCTGAGTGGAGATACGCAGTATGGGTCGAAGTGGATTTAGACAGTGACTGTTCTTCCCCTCTGTCAGCTAGCAGCACATGGGGCAGAAAGGGACTTCCTCTGAATTCTCCCCCTCTGTGACATGTTGGCTTCCTGGAGAAAATCCCACAAGAAGGTAGAAATCACCCTCTGCCTGTGACACATACCACCTCCTCAGGGACTTCATACTCTAACATTTGCACATATGTGGCCTTTAGCAGGTTAAAATTTTTCTAGCTTTATCTTCCTACTGTTTTATGTGGAGTTTGGTAGCATATGGTCCAGTAAGCAAACAAGTAGGTCCTGATTCTCCCTGCAGGTGCTTGTTTCTTTCCTAATTTTAGATGGTTTGCCATGCAACTTCATTTCTCTGATGAGTTCAAAAAAAGACAATTTTCAATTTGCCAAGCTTTGTTTGTGTTGTAAGGATGTTAGTATTGTCCTGTTCAGCTGTCTACCTCTCTGAACTAAAACTCAAAGCCAAACTGTATGATTACAGTTTTTTCTAATTTGGTGAGACACATTGTCTTTTAATATGCAAAGTGTACCAAAAAATAATTTATGTTATGATCAGGTTATCCTATATATTTCAGTTAGTCAAGTTGGTTAATTCTGTCACTTAAATCTTCTATATCAGTGATCAGCAAACTTTTTCTGTAAATGTCAGATAGTAGGCTTTGTGGGAGATAACGGTCTCTATTGAAACTACTGAACTCTACAATTATAGTGCTATAGCAGCCATAGATAATACATAAAACAAATGAATGTGACTGTTTTACAGTAAAATTTTATTACAAAAATCAGGTAGTGGACCAGATTTGACCTTTGGGCTGTAGTTTGCTGACCCCCATTCTAAATCCCTGTTGGTTTTTACAATCTGCTTGTCCTGTGAGTTTCTGAAAGAGTTAAAATCACTAATTGTAACTGTGAATCTATCTCATTTCTGTCAACTTTTGTTTATATACAGTCGATTCTCATTATTCTCAGTGGTTATGTTTTGTCAAGTTGCCAATTACACTGAATTAGCAAATACTGAATCATTGTTGCTAGGAGTTAAATACAGGGTTAGGTTCCTGTGAGCCTCTGGTCACATTCTGGTCAACCAGTCAATATACAACCTTATTTTATGTGTTTCTGTTTAAAAACACCTTATTTAATGTTATTGTTGATTCATGAACATGAACTAACAGCCAGCAGCACCATAATTAATGCTTGAACAAAGCTTACCTAACACACTTGTTTTTTCCATAAAGCATATCACAACCTTCTTGCACTTAGGAACACTGGACAGCACCAGCACTTCTGCACTTCACAGGGGGGCCATTTTAAAAAGTGAAATCACCAAGAAAAAGCACAAAAAATGTGCTATATAGACTACAAAAAAGACACTTGTTTACAGTATGACAGCTGAAACAAGAAGGCAAAGCATTATCTTGTTCCACCCCAGCTAGGAAAACGCTAGGCACTCAGATTTTTTACCATTCTGTGTATGTCTGCAAATGCCTGCAAAATTATGAGTACTGATTTTGAGATTACAAGTAAATTTTAGTGAGTAGGTGAATTTGCAAATTCAAAATCTGTGAATAATGAGGATTGACTGTATTTGGAAGCTATGTTTTCAAGTGCATGCCAATTGATGTTTATTGTATCTTCTGTTAAAAGGACCATTTTATCATTATAAATTGTTATTCATTATATTTTATCACTCTTACCTTCAAAACTACTGTTTTTCATATTAATATAACCACATCAACTTTCTTTTAGTGATTATGTATATATCTTTCTCCATCTGTTTACTTTCAATCTACATAGGTCTCTCTCTATAAATTGTGTTTTGTTTGTTGTTTTTATGCTGTCAGTCTTTACTTGAATTGGGTAATCCAGAGGTTGGCAGTTTTTTTCTGTAATGAGTTAGGTAGGAAATATTTTCAGTTTTTATAGTTATAAGGTCTCTGATGGAACTACTAGGTTCTGCTGTTTCAGCACAAAAGCAACCATAGATGATACAAAATGATTGGGGTTATGTGGCTGTGTTCCAATAACACTTCATTAAAAACGTGGTAAGCTGGATTAGGCCACAGGTCATAATTTGCTGACCTCTACCCTAGAGTATGCCCAGGGTAGTATATTGGGGTATGGGATAAAAATAGTAGGAAATCTATTAATACTTTTTATGCTAAAAAAAAAATTTTTTCTAACAAAAGTTTTACTAATATTCTTACTGATAGTATGTGTGTGTAACACATAAATATATACAAATTAAGTTGTAAACATTTTTACTGAGTACCTCCAAAGGTACTCAGTAAAATATTATACTGAGTATAATATATTATTACTGAGTATAAAATATTATACTCAGTAAAAATATTATAAGATAATATTAGATCCAAAATAGGCATCCTTTATACTCATTTGTTTTAAGCTCTTTACAGTAAACATAAGAATTGTTTTCTTAGGTATTTTCTATGTCACCTAATTCTGAACCCTTCAGATTGAACAGAAATGTACTATTGCAGGCATCAGTGTCATTCAAGGATGTGACTGTGGAATTCACCCAGGAGGAGTGGCAACAAATGGGTCCTATTCAGAGAACGCTGTACAGAGATGTGATGCTGGAGAACTACAAAAACTTAGTCTCAGTGGGTGAGCATATAAGCATAACTTACCCTCATAACTCCATATAGAAGGCAATTCCTTTTTTGCACCAATACAAATGAATACTTTATTTAAATTTTAGTTATTTAGGCTTTTCATTCAGGAATATAAAGTAACTACACCTTTGTGAGGAACAGAAGGAATTGTTTGTGTTGTCAACTCCCAATGATAAATTCAAATGAGGACCTTCAGGATGCTGTTCCTGAAGCTGTATCTTTTTCCACTGTTGGAGACCAAAAAGTTCATCATCTGGCCTAAGTACTCCATTGTTCCCTGTTTACAGGGAACTGCATTTTCAAACCAGAGGTGATCTTCAAGTTGGAGCAAGGAGAAGAGCCTTGGTTCTTAGAGGAAGAATTCTCAAACCAGAGCCACCAAGGTGAGTTACTGAGCACTAGCAGACAGAATCCTGGAGGGTAATTAGACTCCAGAAGGTCAGTTTAGCGATGAACACCGTCACATTTCAAGACTCTTCTTATAAAGCCAATGCCACAAAAAAGCACCAATCAAAAGAAAATGATTAAACTGGACTACATTAAAATTGAATACTTTGTTCACAAAAGATATCATTAAAAGAATGAAAAGACAGCCACAGAGTAGAATATGTATGCAGTACAAGTAACCTAGAAAGGGTAAGCATCCTGAAGATATAAGAACTTCCGCAAGTCAATGTAGGAAAAGGTAGCAACTCAATTGAAAAATAGGTGAAAGACTTTGAACAAGAACTTTCAAATGGCCATTAAGTCTTTAAAAATGTTCTCAATCTCATTAGTTTTCACAGAGTGCAAAATAAAATATAAAGTGAGATAAGAGATAAGTATGATAAGAGGTGAGATGAACAAATCTGGCAATGCCAAGTCCTAGTGAAGATGTGAAATATTAAAGACTGTTATTCACTGACTGAAAATGTAAATTGGTAAAACCACTGTGAAATCAGGAGGATGTTATCAAATCAAGTTAAAGTTTTACATACCTTGTAACCAAGCACTACCTTTCCTAACTGTTTTCCCTACAGAAAGGCATGATTGTATTGTCTACAATGAATAAAATATTTATGGAAATATTGTTTATTTTTGCCAAAAACTGGGATCATCAGCAAAAGAATGAAGAAATAGTTATATTCCTTAAGGGAGAATTATACAGCTACATAAAATCTTACACAATGATTACAAACATTAAGCACAAAAAAACAAAAAATATAAATATGCCTGTATGGTTATATTTATATAGCTATTAGTAACAGGCAAAACTCAATTACATTTTTAGGAATTCATATATTGGTGGTAAAACTACAAAGAAAATCAAGGAAACGATTACATAAATATTAGGAGAGTAGTGAACTCTTAAGCATGAAGAAGTTGTAACCAGGCAGGGATAAATAGTGATTTTTGCAGAGCCATTTGTGTTCTATTTCTTGACATGGTTTCTAATTCCATGAATATTCACCCTATACTGTAAATTGCACATATAAGTTTTAATGAAGATATAAATGACATTTCATGCTTAACAGAGAGTAAAGAGATGAGCCAAAAGTAGCACATGATATTTTTTGCATCTCATATAACCAGTCATTAAGGATGGGCATCTAGAATGCATAAAGAATTTGGACCTTAATCTTAAGTGTCATCTTTGCAGTGAGGCCTTCCATGATACTCCATTTAAAATTGTACCCCTCATATCAAATTGAAATGGAAGTTTAGGATGAGGTGATCAGGTTCACTTATCATTCAATTTTGGTAGACTAAATCAAAGGTACCACAGCCAGAAATGAGCAGTGAATCTAATTTAGTTGCACGAATGGATTTTCTTTTCGTCAGTTTTAAAACTGTATTTCTATGACTCATGGCTGTGAGATGGGTTAGATCCTGAATTATAAACTTCTTCCTTAAATCATGAGGAAGTCGGTGCTGTCCATTTCATTTGATGTTGAAGGACTGATTGGAAATAAGGGATGATATCAAATTGGAAGTATGTAGACTCTTGAGTATTCTACCAGCATAGCCTAGATAATGTAGGACCTATACTGTAATTTACTTCCTCAAACTAAACCCTTTCCCTGTTGGGTTTAGCCCATCAATGCTCATTATCTCCTAATTTTTCTTGTGACTCTGCTTAAGTTTATAGTCCTTGTTGTCTTCATCCCATTATTTGGTTTTCCAGCTCCCTCGAATAACCACTCCTATAAACCTAATTTCTATTTTCTTTTCTTTCCCTTCTCCACCCAGGCAGGAAAATCCAATTTATCACAATCCAAATGCAGATATGTGTTTATTACCAGTTTCCTTTCTCATTTTCACTATATCAGGTACTAATTTTTTAACAGATAGTGAATATATATATATATATATATAGTGAATATATGTATATATATATATTCACACACAAATTATTTAATCTTGAGAAATCAAAAAATGAAATGCAACATAGGCTATATTCTATAAGCCCCACTGATAAGAAATGTAAGACTCATGTTTTCAATTTTCCTCAGTTTTAGAAGATTACAGAGGTGATGACCTGAGCAAGAGGAACAAAACAATCAAACACTTGCAGCAAGTAACATTCATCAATAAGAAATCATTGACTAAAGAGGAAGAGGAATTTTGGGGAAGACCATTTAATCTGCATATAGCTTCTGTTTCTTCAAAAAAAATGTCCTGTAAATGTGAGTCATGGGGAGTGAATTTGCAAAGTATTTCTCAATATATTATTAATAATAGAACATATTCAACCAAAAAAACAGATTGCTGTAATGTATGTGAAAATTTGCCTTTCAAAATTAAGTTTGAGAGAACTCATAATGGAGAAAAATTTTATGAATATAATAAAAATGGGAAAGCCCTCAGTTATAAGGAAAATCTTCCTGAGCATCAAAAGTGTCAAACTTTGGAACAAGCTTTTGAACATAATGAAATTAGAAAAGCTTTCTATGATGAGGCTTTCTCTGTTACACATAAAAGTACTCACATAGGAGAAAAATCCTGTAAAGATGATGAATTTAGGAAAAACTGTGATAAGACAACTCTCTTTGACCACAAAAGAACTGGGACAGGGGAGAAACACTGTGATCTTAACCAATGTGGGAAATCCTTCTGTGAGAAATCAGTTGTCAAGGAATACAATAAATTTAACATGGCTGTGAAACACTATGAATGTAATATAAGTGGGAATATTTCCAGCAGGAAGTCACACCTCACTCAACCTCAGAGAACTGTCACAGAAAAGAACCCATTGGTCTGTAATGACAGGACACAAACTGGGAATAAATCCTTTGAATATCATGAAAATAAGAAATCCTACCAGTCAGCAGCCCACAAAGTACGCCAGAGAACTCACTGTGAGGTAAAACCCTATAAATGTAATCAATGTGGGAAATCTTTCTGTCAAAAAGGACATCTCATTCAACATCAGAGAACTCACACAGGAGAGAAACCATTTGAATGTAAGGAATGTGGAAAAACTTTCTCCCAGAAGTCACACCTCAGGACACATGAGAGAATTCACACAGCAGAGAAACCCTATAAATGTAACGAATGTGGGAAAACATTTGTCCAGAAGTCAACCCTCAGGGGACATCAGAGAATTCATACAGGAGAGAAACCCTATGAATGTAGTGAATGTGGGAAAACTTTTGTTCAAAAGTCAACCCTCAGAGATCATCATAGAATTCACACAGGGGAGAAATCCTTTCAATGTAATGAATGTGGGAAAACTTTTGGTCAGAAGTCAAACCTCAGAATACATCAGAGAACTCACAGTGGTGAGAAAACTTATCAGTGTAGTGAATGTGAAAAATCCTTCTGGCGAAAAGACCATCTCATTCAACATCAGAAAACACACACAGGTGAGAAACCATTTAAATGTGATGACTGTGGGAAAACTTTCGCCCGGATGTCAACCCTCAGAGTGCATCAGAGAATTCATACTGGGGAGAAACCATTTAAATGTAATGAATGTGGGAAAAAATTTGTCCGGAAGGCAATCCTCAGTGATCATCAGAGAATTCATACAGGAGAGAAGCCCTTTCAATGTGATAAATGTGGAAAAACCTTTGGCCAGAAATCAAACCTCAGAATACATCAGAGAACTCACAGTGGGGAGAAATCTTATGAATGTAATGAATATGGAAAATTGTATGAGCAGTCGGCCCTAAATGTATGCCAGAGAATTCAGGGAGGGGGAAAACCCTATTGATATGATAACTATGGAAACTCCTGGCTAAAAGACCAACTCATTTGGCATTAGAAAATCACAAAGGAGGGAAACCATATAAAAAATGAAGGTGGGAAGAAATTTGTCCAAAAGGCAACCCTGAGAGTATGTTAAAGAATTCACACAGGCTTCTGTTTCTTTTAAGATACTATGGGAAGCCCTTTGGAATGAAGTCACACCCTATTAGATGACTGTCACACATCACACGAGTTGGTAATCTGTTCACTAGTAAGAATTTAATTTTTTTTGTCTAGCTATATAGCTAAACTTCCCAGTCTCCCTTTCATCTAAGTGGGGCTTTGTAACTGTCTAGTGGAATGTGGATGCTCATGGGTATGCTACATCCAGTTGTGACAAATAAAAGACTTCCCTGACAAGCTACCAGGCCACTGTCAGAATAAAATGGAGTTGACTTCCAGGACAACCTTGGGTACCATGCTTTAACATAGCACAGCACAAGATAAAAGCTAGGGTGCCTGAAATATGTGGACAAAATCCTCTCTTCCACATCTTTATCACTTGAACATTTTGTGAGCAAGAATTATGCTTATATTCTGTTGAGCTCTTACATGTTTTGGTCTATTTGTTTCTGCACATAATTTAGCCATCTCTCTTCTAGGGAGGCAGAAAACTGAAAGCCAAGCTTACATCAGCCAAAGAGAGCAAACCTTATTAGAGGGTTGGTGTGTCAAGGAGTCCCTCAGAGATCATCAGAGAATTTGTACAAAAGACATCCTTTCAATGTACTGAAATAGATGGTACCACCTGATACAGGGCTTTGGCTGAAACTAAAAAGTTGAAAGTTTTTTTGGTTGAATGGTGAGCAGTCATCATGCAACTAAAGTAAAGGTGGCTTGCTTAATGTCATGAAGCCACTCTCCACACCTACATATACCCCAACTTCAGCTGCTTTAAGGGGAAAGAAGTTTTACTGTCTAAAAAAGGGATCAAAGGCCACTGCCTCCCCACCCCCATCATTCTGGGGAACTTTGAGGGAAGGGTGAAACTCAAACTTTTATGCTTCTATGGGATACAGTGTCCAAGTCAACATCTTACCAGTTCCCACAGAGGTAAGGGGCACCTAGATCTAGATAATATCATTAGGGCAGAGTTTGCAATAGGGAAGGGAAATGAATGGGACCTTAGGAATAAATGGGGCCTAGTGCAATGTACTGTGATTACTTCTACATCTGAAAGTATAGTAGGAATTAATGTTAAATGCTGTACTTCCCCTTCCCATAAGTCATAGAGGAAATTCTCCCAGTCAAGAAGAGTTGCATGTAAAGAAAATACTTTTGAGGTCTCACAGCCCTTAATGAACATTTTGGGCTTCAAGTCTCTGACTGGTGATTTTGTTGATTGGAACTTCTGGCAAAAGGAGGCACCCTTGGGGGTGAGGGGAAGGGTGGTTTGACTTGATGCCCTGACAAGGCTACTACGTATACCCCTATTGCAAAGCAGTTATTAGCTTATTCTTGAGCTGTTTTACACTAGACAACTCGCAGAGGCCTCTAACTTGATATTCCAATTTGGGGGTCTGTCACCTTGGCCTTACCAACTGAAGAGATGGAAAGAACTCAAGCCTCATGTGTGAAATCAAGAATGTAGCTGTCCTGGTCCCAGCAGTATCTCAGCTGTACATGAAATAGTAGCAGCTATCCCTTAGGAAATTTATCCCCCACTTTGCTGCCTGAAGCAAAGCTGCTGGCTCAGTAGTGCCCTCAATTCATAGAGGTTACTCTAATTGGGCCTGGTTCACTGATGGTTTGGCTAGTTGAAACCACTTGGATGCTATGATTATTCAACCTTAGTCCCATTACGCAGACCCCAAAATTGATGTGGCTGTTCATCTCACTGGGCAGAACATAGGGATGTTCTCAATTCGAGCCAGTATTCCCTTTGATGAAACTTGGTGTGTTTTTATTGACTTCCGGACTCTTACTGTGTCTAGCTATTTGACATGCCAGTTCTAAAACTACAGACAGACAAAAGCACCTGTCTTTGGTGCTGCAAACTGGGGGGGAAGAGTCACAGCTTTTGAGAAGAATGTCTGGGTGGTTCACCTAGACGCCCATAGAGACAGACTGTTCTCTGATAAGACTGACTGGAATCAAGCTGGTAATCAAGCCTTCACTACCCAGACTGTTAGCATTGCTACCTGGATCCATCATCATACTGATATGGCAAAACATTCGCCATCTTACACTGGATACAAAGTAAAGGTTTCTCTATATCCAGTGCTTCCTTTGATATAAGAATCTACAGTTTTTTTCTTCCAGATTAATAGCCAGTGCTCCATATGCCATTTGATTAATTCACCCCTTTCCTACCGATTTTATTTAGATATCTTTATATAGTAAATTCTCACTTCTAAAGATATTGTTTATGATGCATTCTTTACAATTGTTTTATTAGTAACATCTTCCTTTTGGAACAAGGCTGGCACATACCTCATATGCACCAAAATATCCCATCTTTCTGGCCTGATAATGTTTCACTGAAGGGTATTTGAATCAAGATTAATAAAGGAGAATGCCTCCTAGGACTCTGGAAATGGAACATCAGTTACGTTGTTACTCTAGAGCAGCTGCCAGCAGCCTTGCCAAGAATATGCATCTACAATAAGAAAAGATAATGTCCTGTTAGTGCTAGTGTCTGAAAAATCAAGAGATTACTGTTTACTGTTTTTATAATAGTTGGTAATATAAAGATAGTCTTCTTAAATTTTTTCTCAGTTTCTTAAGATATTTAGAATCATCTCCTTCATGTCTCCTTTTACATATAATCTTAGGATTATGATTGGATTTGCTATTAAGTTCAGGATCATCTGCCCACCAGGATGGAACCAATTCACCCAAGTGGCCTGAGGCATTTATTGGGAGGCCAGGTGACAAAAGTCCCCTGACTGGGCACTCAGGCCTTACCTGCTATCCCCTTGCTGTGGTAGGCCCACAGAACACCTCTCCATATAATACATTATCACCTGGAGACTGTGGTCTATGCTGTAGTATAGTGCCCTTTTCTCTACCTGGTTCATCTTTCCAGGTTATGAACTTTTATTTCAATAGATAGATAGATGCCTCATCTAGAGACCCTGGAGGAGTCAATTTTCTGTCTGCCTGTTTACTAAGGGTCTTCAAGCTAATAAAGAAAAGAAGTCTCCATGTGGGCAAGAATTTTTATCTGTTTTGTTCATAATGTATCCCAGGCATATGAAACAGTCCCTCTATGTATTGGGCACTCAGAAATACTCGTTAAAGGTAGAATTATCAAAGTGAAATCTGAACACTTTTCCTTTCAATGCTGGGAATTATCTTGATTCATCATTTATTATAAATAGTTAAGGAAAATTATTGCTGTAAGTTCCCAGTCAGACTCTTCTATTTTGGATATTTTCTAAAATTGCTAAAACTTAACTTGTTCTTAATATTCAGCAGTGTACAATACTGTTTTTCAGATCTTTTGTCAGCCAAAACATAAATTTACCTTCAATAAACTGGTATTGCTAATTCAAAATTATGTTTACATATCAGTTTTTCTTAGCATAGTAAAGTGCAGGCTTTTTTTTGGCAGGGGTGGGGGGGTTTGCTTCCACACAAATACTTTGTAAGTACCAATCCAAGCAATTTTACAAACCGACAGTAATGGTAAATCAGATTTTCAAGATCAACCAAATAGGAAGACAGAGGAATTGGTTCTGGGAATCATCCCTTTAATCCATTGTACCAGTAGTTCCACTCATTTTTACTTCCAAATCATCCTCCTGGCAGCTACACAGAAAACTTTATTTTCTCAGGTTCAAGAATCTATCTTCTGAGAGACACGTCTGGCCCCCAAAGAAGGGGCATAACACCTGTTCTGACCTGCCACCATGTTTGTCTTTCCTTGCCAGGTACATAAAAATTTTTTCTCATAGTAAAGGTCTCCATGGAAGCCCAGCAGAAATAATATATTCTGTTCTTCTACCAGGGCAGCTTCACACTATAATGGAGAAACAAATTTGTGTTCTTGTTGGAAACTTTACAATGTCGAAGTACCATTAGCTTGCCTGGCCAACTGGCTATTTAAGTGATCTTCCAATGTTCTGAGGAACTGGCTGCGCAACTCACAGAACAGTATAATTAGCTTAACTATCAGCTGACTTGATACATAATTAATAAACTAAGAAGCTACTTGGCCTGACTTTGTGGCAATTCTACTCCTATAAATATATACCCAAAAGAATTGAAAAAGAGTTCCAACAAAAACTTATACACAAATATCTTGGCAACACTATTCACAATAGCCAGAAGATGGAAACAACCCTAATGTCCATCAACAGATGAATTCATAAACAAAATTTTGTATATATAAAACAGAATACTGTTCACCAATAAAAAGGAATAAAGTACTGATACATACTAAACCACAGACGAACCTTGCAATGTGCTAAACTGAAAGAAGCCAAACACTAAAGGTAGACTTCACAGCAAAGTATATTTCCACGGTCGACAGTGACATTACACGATAAAAGGCTGTTATCTGCTAAGAATACCACAATCCTGTGTGCATAAAACAACAGAACATCAACATACATGAAACCAACACTAAGAGAAATAAAAGGAGAAACAGACAAAACTATTAATAGTTGTCAAATTCCACATCCCTCTTTCAGCAATTGATAGAATTGCTAAATAGGAAATCAGCCAAGGAAATAAAAGAACTGAACAGTGTACCTCAACCAACCAAATATAATCTGCATTTATAGAACACTCCACCCAGCAACAGCAGAATACACATTTCAAGAACAAATGAAACATTCAGTAAGATAAACCAGATACTATGACATAAACTGTAAATTTTAAAAAATTGATATCATGCAGAGCATGTCCTGTGACTACAGTGAATAAAACTGGAAATGAGTAAAAGATAAAAATCTTCAAACACATGGGAATTAAAACACTTCTAAATACTCCATGTGATAAAGAGGAAGTTACAAAGGAAAAAGTAATTTGAACTGAATTAAAAGGAAAAAAACTCATCGAGATTTGTGCCTTGGAGCTAAAGCAGTGCTAAGTGGAAAACTTATACCACTAAATGCTTATGTTAGAAAAGAAGAAAGGTCTCAAATCAATAGTCAAGCTCTCATCTCAGGAAACAAACAAAAAGGTAGAATAAAATAAAACCAAACCAAACAGAAGCAAAGAAATATTATAAGAGCAAGATTCAATGATATTGAGAACAGAAAAATAGAGAAAATCCAGGAAACCTAAAGTTGATCTTTTGAGAACATTGATAAAATTGATAAAACTCTACTATGACTGAAAAAAAAGAGAAGATACAAATTACCAAATTCAGGAATGAAAAAGATGTTATCACAACACACAGATATTAAAAGGATAATCAGGGAACACCACAAACAACTCTGTGGACATCCATTTGACAATCTGGGTGAAACTGAACAATATTGAGGTCAACACCTCAAAGCCACAAA